TTTGATACCAGCACAGTAGGCCGGGATACGCACATCGGGATTTATCCTTAAGTAAACAATTTTAAATCTCCTAGTACAACCGATCTTTCATTTTATCCAGCCAAGCCGAATTCGATGATTTGCATCGTACGACTCGGTCTATAAGAAATTTACTTGCATGCTTTTGATAAATGCAATTGCAATTTTTCGTCACAAGGAACTTCGCTCGATAAAAGTTTTGAAAATATTCGAGTGGATTCTTTCATTGTTTGCGTAGAAATGACAATGTCAAGGAAGTCAGAATTTGACATTTGTGGTGAAAGCGAGGCCTAAACTCGTAGTGATTTGTAATTGTTGAATAAATGAATCTCTCTGGAGTAAGGAATGGCTTGATTAAAATGTGCGAAAATTGGCAGTATAAAATCACATCAGTAACATTCGTTTGAAACAAGAATTAATAACTTACTTATTGCATTTGTCGACTCCAGTTGCCGTTGTCGCACATTCCTGCAGCATTTCCTCGAATAACCTTCTTCCTTCATCCACCGAATCACTCAAGTCGTAACGAACTGCATATGGAAGGAGAAGATATCGGGTGGCACTGAATATATGAAAGTGATCAATAGACACATACAGAACCTTTAGCTATTTCATATGTTAAGAGTCAACCACCAGAGTTTTCTTTCACATAAGCTCTGCATGTCTCAGCCGGAAGTGCATGGAAGTGTTTCCATGCAATTGCCTAAGACATGCGAGGTTCGAATAGAAGATCGGGTCCATGAACTTCTTTTGAATGCGACAAACTCAGAATGAGAAATGAACAATCCGAAATCAGTTGTATTTTTTCGACACAACTGTAATGACTGTGAGAATATATCATGTACCGTGTTTGCATATGAGCTAGCAATAAGAAGAGTGGAACCGCAAATGCAAAAAGAACTGAATTTGAGACATCTGTTCTCTTTAAATGCTTACTCGTCATCCCAAAGGCCTGTGTCCTTCCATTTGAGTTTGTCATAATTTTTTGTGAGAACTTTTGCGATGAATTTCTGAAATATAATAAAACTGACACTTGATTCGATCGGTTTTATGCATTTTGCAAAGGTTTATTTAACAACGCAAAATCGATTTGAAAGTTCTCGTTGACACTATGCAATGTACAGTGCAATTCCACGTTTATCGTCCTAATTTCCTTGCAGAAAGAGGAAATCAACTGCAGATAAATTAAGCGCAATACCTTAAATAACCCGTAGTCAGGTCCATCTAAAAACATCAGCTCCAATGGGTCGATAACCTTTTGGGCTTCTTCAAACATGCCAAACTGTGTATCACCGGGTAGAACCGTTGTTATAACATCCATCAGTCGATCATACGAGAACGGCTCATTTCGTAGCATTTTTCGTCTAAATGCGATGAATTTCAGTGCGATTAAAACAATCGCACGTTGGCGTATCATATTCACTGTCAGTTTCAGTAAGAATCAAAAAAGGAACGAATATAGATGAAAGCCACTGACTGCAAGAAAGCCAGTCGATCGGCAAGCAGAATGATTTTATCACCCAATGAGAATTCATCAGGTTTGATGCGTATGCGTTGCATTAAGCGATCGTAACCGATATCGTCGTACTCCACACGTACAAACGAGCTCGCATTCGCATTATCCATATCCCAGTGTGCTGATTCCATTTGCACTTCGGTCGGTTTACGACTAACAGCGAAGCTAGCTGGGCACGGTGAATACCCTACTGCAACTCGTATCATGTATTCAGCCTATTTTAAACGAAGCAAGACAAAGCAATGCATCGTTAAGATGCACATTTTATGTAGGTTATTCACTGTACTAAATTCTTCCGGTTCGAATTTAGAAGAGTTATATAGAAAAATATAGAATAGAATAGAAGAAGAATATAGAAGAATTCGGAAGAGACACAAATCATAAATCGCCAGTCATCTTTCGTATCAATTCAGAAACTTTCCGTAATATCATGTATAAAAACTCATCGGTCTGAAAAAAAGAGTAGAAGTTTACACTGACAAATGAAATTATAAATACCTGGTGGCAACCACTTGAACTTAGCCGACTGACTTTTGTAATTGTCTTTATAATCTCGGTAGAAAATAGGAACAGGCCATGAGAAGTTGTAGATGGATTGGTCGTGCGGTAGTGTATCCCACGCATTGAATGGCTCTTGGGTGAGCACCGCGGGAGCTGTTGGTTGATTGTTAGTTACCATGACTTCGGGGAAACTCTTAAAGATCAACTCTTCT